AACATGTCAAAAAACACAGGAGTCTCTTTTCCCTAAAAACATGGAACACTTTCAACATTACACCAACAATTAAAGAAACAGAGTGTTGTATGCAAAATAATTCATCCCTGGCATCATCAGTTACTTTGTAAAGAAACCAGTTTCAGTCAAATCTTTGACAATCTTCATTATTTTCCCCCTTGCTTGTTTCAATACCTCCTTTTCTCTTCTCAGGGAAATAAATCTTTGATATTCATGGCATCAATTTTAGCATTGTACTTGTCAATCTCTTCATTGGTCTGTTTAATATAATTTGCAATGAATTCATCCATGTCTGAAGTCTGTCAAGGAATGTTCTTCATTTAAAAAATATAATCAAATGTACCAACCACGACTGCAGTGGCAACTATTTTCAACTGATAAAATATTGATGACTCTATGGGCCAGCATATTCAGAGTGTATCATACTGCTATCATGACAAGCCTCAAATCAATTAATATTACTTACTCATTGGTATCAAGCTGGCTACAGTATTAGAGGCAGAATTTTTAAACTAACTACCACATGCCAATTAAACAGATTTGGAATTTATTTATCAGTGGCAAATTCTCAATGTCCCTCTCAATGACAGCATGAAAAACTCAGTATGGCATAGCACATTTTATAGTTATGAAGATATTTTAAAGTAAAAGAAATTATTACATGTGCTTGATCTAAGAATTGTATGATCATGATGGCACAAGCAGGAGTCACCCTATGATGCTTATGCAGAATAACTGTTTGATCAAGAGAGGCAATGGGTTATTTTAAATGTGCACAAGATCATGCAATTACTGAATATATTAAGTAAAGCAAGGATACTGGGATGAGTATCTGACTTGTCTCCAGCCAGACTTACAAAGTGGGAACCATTGTAGAACCAGCCTGGAGGCAGGGCCTCAAGATGATGCTCCTTCTGGAAATATGGAATTCAGAAAATTTGTAAATACTGGGCACTGAAACAGGCATTTTGTGTACATAGTAAGACTTTAATCCAGACTTTTAAATCTTTTTCATAGATATTAGCATTTGTAAAAAATATTAAGTATGGTATAATCAGTATAAGTATTTAAAAGAAATTGCCAAATGAAAAGAGAATTTCTTCTTTTCATCGTGAACAACAGTACTGCTCAAGTGCACCTTGATTTAAGGTATTTCTCAAGAATCACTTTCATCAAAGACATCCATAAAACTTACATGGATTTTTGCCACTTCATTTTTGGTCAAAGTAGCCTGTGAGACATGGGACTTCTTGGCTGGTTTCTGAAATTAAAAAAAAATCTGTATTATGCCAGATAAAATGGGCCACAGTCAAGGGATGTGCATGCCTGGCTAATGGTGGCTTTTTTCCTGTTTCTCACCAATATTTCACAAGAAATTTGAAAATTTCCTTAATGTATTGTCACTGTTTTTTTAATATTCAAAAAGAGAAATCAGCATTAATATTGCCTTGTATTCCCACACTAAAAACCCAACTCACTGGACATTTCACCTGAGATGACCAGTGTTTTACCTGTTTGGCACAAGTTCTCATCCAGTCCTTCAGTTTCTCTTCCTCCAGGTCCAGACCAGTAAAGACCAGACAGTACTCATGTCCATTCTCACTACCAGCTGGACCATTGGCTGAGGGTGGTGGTGTCTGCATCTCTGCATTGTTGATGACCAGAACTCCACTCAGTGTCACGTATTCTACATCCAGGAGTGTGGCAGAATCTGCAAATAGAGATAAAAAGACGATGAAAAAAATATTATGGCATCAGTATTAGTATAAAACAGCACATATACAGATATGCTGCTACTAGAACACTTTTTTAATTATCTATATACATACATGGAGCAAAAACTAATTTAATTTGATTTTAATGACAATGTAACATGATCAAACCCTAGAAGTGAAGGTTGTACCGAAGAAAATAAATCTTCATATGCTCTTTACCTGAGAAACGTAGAAGTCCTCTCACAAAATACACATTGCCTGCTTTTGAAGTCTTATTGAAATGCTTTTTGAGTTCTGAAATAACAAAAACCAGGCATGAGAGATTCATACTTAATTTTTCCTTTTTAGCCTTCAGTCATGAATGCATGTCCAAATTGACTAGGAAGTAAAACCCAGAAATGTGTTAGAGAAGCCAGACACCTTAAATTCTACACATCTAACATATTATTTCTGAAAGTACAAATGTACATGGATAAAAAACACATTGGGCATATGTCTTTGCAGGACTGAAAAGACTAAAAAATGCTAAAAAACTATCTTGCCCCCCCTTTTTTTCCTTTATGTTAAACCTCTTGGGATCACCTTTCAGCCTCCCTAAAAACTTTGGTCTCTCCAGAGGCTGGGTAAAGCGCAGTCTCAGATCTGTCAGTGGAGGAACTACAGCGCCTGAACTGAACTGACCACAGGACCTGAGGACAAAATATCCAACATCTCAGAATGAATAAATAATTTAAGTAACAGAAATGAAGCAGGAACTTGTAGTTATCATGAATATAATGAGGCTCATGTACCTGACATGGATTATAATACACATATAAGCTGGCGGCCTCCACTTACCAGCCTGGACAAGAGAGATGTCTGGCTCTTTTTGCTGCATTTTCCATAAAGGCAGTCTCGGACAAAATCAGGTCAAGGTCAGTGCTCCTGGTGACCTCTCCCTTGTCAGCAAGAATGAAGCCAACCTCTGGATTAGCTGCTCTAATCAGCTTCTGGGCTTCCTCCAGGAAGGGATTCTAAGATAAAAAGCAGTTAATATGTGACAATTTTTGAAGAGAATCCATACGATATTTTAACCACAGGAAACTAAAGCCACATCACAATAAAACACAAATCACAAAGTGCTTTTTGAGGGACTCTACTGTATGGTTTACTTGACACAAGCTATGTAACTGGCACAGATAGGGTTGATGGTAAGTTTTGTCATATTGACAAGAAAAATTTTATCCATTATAAAAAAAAATTCTTTTCTTTGTTAAAAATCATATGTCATCTTACCTTGAGGTCCAGATTACTGGTAAAGAGAACATTATTAACCCAGCCCTCAGCACACTGGTCCAACAGTTTGGGGAATGTGTATCTGAAATGTTCACGGGAAATTAAATATAGAAATTTTAACTTTGTACACTGTAGAGTTAGTAAGGTTTGGCATGACTTGATAACTGCCAAATATTTGAAATATCAACAGAAATCAGATGGCATTAGATGGTTGCATTTTCAAACAAGCTCCACAAAGGTTGGTGATATCTACATAGCTCAAAAACTGTAGTGGCCCACTTCTGTGTTTTATGTAGGCTAAGCCTGCTTACCTGTCTTCCATATACATGTTCATTGGGTCCACACATGCTGTTACTGCACCTGAAGAAAGAGATACAGTGTGAAAATATCACTGGGTTACTGACAGTGTAGAATCAACTAATGACTAGTTATAGTTTTATTTACTTCAAATGTTAATGTGGGGATGACATAGTTTTGTTTTGAAAACAAAATCCCCTAATATCTTTACGGAGATGGTTAAAATTTAAACAAATACTGCAGGCTGTTTCTTATCAGTCTAGATAAAACAACAACAACAAAAATGAAGATGATGATGATAAATTACTTATACCTGTGTTCCATATTTATTTTAGAATTGTAAAAATTACAGTGGCCAGCTGTGTAGTGTTATCCTCTATATCACACATGCAGAAAGTGATCCAGTCTACATCTACTTACCTATCTTCAGATGTCTCTGAATGTCAGGATCTTCAGAGGAACCAATGGCTGTTATTACATCCACAATATCAGTGAACCTGAACAAGAAAACATATCCAAGCTTTCTTACATGCTTCTTTGCATTTTTTTCTTTGGAGAAATGTAGTAAAACAAAAAATAATTATACAAAACCACTGAGAGTTAGTTAGTCACATCTACAGGCTACTGTACCATTTCACTTGATAACAATACTCATAGACTTTTAAAACATAAAATACCATCTAGAAATCTATCAAACAATTAATTTTCTTTACATCTAACTTCATATCTGCCTGTATATGCCAAGACCAAAAAAAAAAACAACAAAATAACTTGAACATCAAAGATTTGAAAGATAAATTATATTCACCCTGGCGTCACAAGTAGTATATGTAATTTTTTGCTCTGCTTCTTTCTCTTGGATGCTTTGATGAGTTGTGACAATGACACCTGTAGCCCTTTGGGATCAAAAGTGTCTATGTTGTCTACAGGTCTACGCAAAACAAACCACCTGCAATTAAGAGGTAATATGCATAATATGCATACATCTGAAATTCTAAACAAGCTATTTCCATAGTTGATACATATTTCAATAGAGCATTATCAAAACAAAATTTATATGCATGAAACCACTGGTACTGCAACGCTAAATCAATTGAAGTATATCAAGCTATCTACAACAAAACTCAACATACCTCCATGCAAAATAAACACCACAACATAGTTTGTAACTGACCAGTGATTAACACAATTGAAGGGGTGCTAAGATTTGTCTCAATAAAATGTCTCACAGTAATGTTATTTATTTATTATTATTTTTTTTTTTACTTACTTTTGACCATCTTTGGCCATGTTCACCAGAGTAGTGCATAGGTTTCTTTTATAGCTGCCTGGAATGCCTGTTATGATTGTCACAGTCAACTGGAAACAAAGAGTTGTAAATCATCTTAATACAATGTCTTAAAATAACACATTAGTTCTATCATTTAATGTTTAATGACATAAGGAGGGCTTCTTTATAAGATGGTCACATTATCAAATTATAAAGCTGCAGTAAAATTATGCAGTAAATTTACCTTTTACTGAGTTTAATTGAAAGTATACAAAATTCATAAACATTTAGAGAAAAAAAGTTCTTTTTCTTTTTTCTTCTGTGTTTCAAGTGTCCAGATATTTTGCTTACTTGGTCATCATCATCAAAACCGCCTGCATCATAAGGCTGATTGAGCAAAATACTGAGATCTTTGGAAGCCACTGGAACTCTGCCAACACTGCTCACTTTCAAATGATCCAGGAATCTGGACAAATTGTAAAAGAGACAAAATTACAATCAATATGGGCATAGATAGCTTTTCTAAAAAAAAAAAAAAATTAAATCAACATAATACAAAATAAGATAACCTCTTTTCTAAAAATTATTGTAAGACCCTTTTCCTATGTTATCAAGAAAAATTTTAAGTTGTGACCTGAAAGTGTCATTCTGCATAAAACAACAGCACCCTATCAAATACTTGCATTATAGGTAGAACTATCAGACAAAAGTACATCTCATCCATTAAGTGTTTTACAATTTACTGTCAAATTGTAATTTTTTTCAGTTAAGTTCTTGATACATACTATACTAGTAGTGTGTTTTCCTACCTGTCTAAATCCTGCAAGCTAGCCATGGCATGTTTTAATGGAGTCACAGTACCATGAGAACTCTCAACTGTATACTTCAGCTGGAGATGGTTATGCCTGAAAATACAAGTAAAAGTTACTTTTTATTCTAAAGCATTTAAATGCATTTTCACCCGTTTTACTTTTTTCTTAACTAATTTCATTAAGTCATAAAATGCAACTGTTACTATTTATTGAAAAAAAAAGACAAACTCAAATTCGACCTATCAGTAAAAAAATTAGATATGGTATACCTAATGCATTTTTCTAGATAAATAAATTCAGAAAGTTCTGCATTCTGATAAAAAAAAATCAAGTGTACAAAAACAATCAAATCAAGACAACTTGTGAACATACATTTGTGCCAGATCTTCTGGAAGCTGTGCATCTCCTGCCAGCAGCTTCATAGGAGGCACCTGGTCTTCCTGTCTCCACAATGGTAACACCTGAGAAATAAAATCACTACACCTCAGTCTTACGTGTATAGAAGTTCTAACAGGCTTTTCTCAAAGGTACAACTGCTTTTCAACTCTATCAGTGTACAACAAAATCAAAATCTACTGTCTTAAGGATAGATTTTGAGTTATGCAAACCAGTGATCATTGCTGAAGAGAAATATGAAATCACATCTGCAAGTTTGTTCAAAGAGTTAACACAAATGAAATTTAAAAAAAAACATTTTTAATTAAACAACCTGGACATAAGAAGAAAAATTTATCTAGGCAAATAGTTTTTTTTTTCACAAAAATGCCCAGAGGCTCATCACATAAAAGATGATATCTCTGATGCAGACTTAAGAAAACATTTTCTATTACTTGAAAAAAAACAAAACATTACAATACAACATATAATAACTTACCTCTGCAAAAAAAGCTTTGTAGGCTTTGGTTTTGGGAGTGAGTACAAACACTAGCTGCTGGTTTTTGCCCTGTAGATGAGCTGGTAAGAATGGGCTGAGACTGGGTTTGTACATGACTATCAGCAGAGCTACAACACTGGGAGAGTCCTGCAATGAAGAAATATTTTATCAAAATACAATTATCCATTTCAATTTCCATATCTAAATGTGGCAGCATTTTTAACAGTTAAAATTTTTCATAAAAACATTCATGGAGATACATAGATTAGAACTTTGATTTCACTGCAGATTAAGACACTAACTTTTTTCAGCACCCACAGGTATGTTCATGGCTGACATGAGTATGCATGCTTGTGTGTGCATTGCCTGAACACACCAAGTTATCTCCTATTCATCATTATTACAATCTTACCCCATCAAAGAACTCCAGGCTGATGACTTTGTCTTTGGGAAGCACAACTGCACCCAGCTGATTATGTATGAAAACTATTCCTTGTTCAAAGATGTGTAAATGTCCTAGAAGATATAAGAAAACATAGGTGGAAATCATAAATGGTAACTTAAAATTCCCCTAAATAAAAAAACATAAATTTGGATTATCAAATTTCTTATGTACAAAGCGAATAAAAAATTCATCAGTTATGCAAACTGCCCAGCAAACATAAACATTCTCATCATCAAAATGCAAGATCAGCACACAGAATCTAACAGTAATACTTATACAATATTCTAATACTAATACAAATTCCTGTCAGTCTGTAACAGAGCTATTTATACCTTCCTCAGGACTGGAAACCCCATTGTTTGCAAACACCTGTGCCATGTCTCCAGGAACCAGTGTACGGCCAAGGCTGCCATTGTCGCCTCCTCCTATCATACTGATTATATCTGGGGTCAGCTGACCAGTGTACTGAAATACAGACCATTCATGCTTATACCAGTATATAGCTATTGGCAAAGATCATGACAGTACTAAAACTTATAACTATTAAACTGGAAATAAAAACTAATTCACGATATTAAAACATTACAATTGGCATCAACAAACATGTGGAGAGAAAAAAAATTGAAAATATAAGATAAAAGTTATGTAAGTAGTGTAAGCTCTCTACCACAACCACAGTTTTGTTCATACTGCCAACATGGTGATATGAGAGCAACTCATGATCAACAACATGCTATCAGTATGAACAAGACTGCAGCAGTGGCAGCAGAAAGTTTACAGTACATTAAGGTCTTATATCCAGAGTTAAAGTTTTAAGTTTTAACTTGTTTTATTATGTATAAATCTACCTTGATATATGAACATACATCAGTCAAAAAGAATAAAGTTGTATATATATTGTATTACTGGAAAACTGGGACACAATACAAAGAATTATTACACGTGTTAGGGAATAGAAGCCACCATATGACAGATGGCCCTTATTTGGTACAGCAACATTCTCTAGTTCTTACCTGCCATGTGTGTTGTCTAGGAATATGACTAGTTAGGAAAAGGACCTGACTATCCAAGGATGAACCAGCTGAAAAAAAAAAACAGTTAAGTATAAAAAGTATTTAAAAACATTTCCTTATACTTTATCCCTTACTTTCTTATTTATTTTGCATTTAAGGAAATTAAAACGGGAAATACCAAATAAGTCATAATATGTTTTGTTAAATATTCCCATTTCTTGTGGTTGCCATTCACCATCAGGTGTGGTGAGGACAGATCTTCAACCCCTCAAGCTTGCTACAGGTCCACCACAAGAGGGCGCACCTGAAGATGAATCACAACCAGCAAACAGGCATAACATCTGTTCGCTGTAATATTCCATGCAGTTTTTCACTCCTATATACAACTATAAATCATCAAAACATTGTGTGTTAACATTAAATTACCTTTATTTACAACTGGGATAGTTGACTCCAAGAAAGCTTCAGCAAATCCCACAGATCCCAGAGTCTGCCCATTGTGTTCTATGCTAGGGATGTTGTATATGTAAACTGTAGCAAGCTTAATCAGGGGGGAGGATTCTCCCTCTTTTAAAACCACTGGTCTGGAAAACAGAAATGAAATCAAAACTGATTTGAAAAGATGTGCAGCTTAATCATTATTATGACAGCGACTTTACCACAATAACAGATGCAACAAATGTTCTACCTGGAAATCCTGCCAACTTTTAAAAGCATTTATGAAATAGCAATAATGTAATATAATTCTGTATACCACACAGACACCACATCAATATAGATCAATGAACTACCAAAGAGGAATTTGATTCTTTTTTTTTTTAATTCAAAATATTTGTTCCAAATTGTCATATGAATGTTCAGTATAAAGATATGTAAATATTTATATTCACTTGGAAATCTAATAAAAAAACAACCTATTACTTTCTCTTCATTTCCTTGTATATATAATTTATTAACTCATTTATCCATAGATGGCAAATTTGTTCTGATACCGTGCCAAACTGCACCAAAAACTGCCCAACTGCCTACTTACTACTTAATATCTATCTTACCATACAGTGCTCACTACAATAATGATTGATGAGCAGACCCCCACAATGAATGTCTCTGAGGACCTCCATAATGAAATAACCTCTTGCATTGCCATAAAAACTGACGCAGTGCCAGAAGTTGTAATAATGTCTAGCATCCAGCTACAGACAGCCCTATTAGTTTCTATCTGCACTCAGAATATTGACAGACCTTAATTAAATCATGTCTTAACCCTTGCGTAAGTACATTGTGAATAATTCACGGGAAGAGCCAATACTGCCACCTCTGTGGTGATCTCTACTGAATTTAATTGCAATTCCCACAGAATCTTGGCTGAATCTAATAATGGCGATAAGGCTGTCCAATTTCGATTCTTATTACAAGGCTGTAAACACAGGAAAAGTGTCTTTGATGAGCACTATATTCATTAAGTCTTCGTTTCAAAATTTTCAATAAACCTTACCTTCCATGGTGATCATATGCTTCAATTGAGAACTCGAAATTGCCCCTAGGGAAAGTAAAAGATATTATAGTATGAGACAAAACATCACTATCACAGATTCTTTTCACTCAAGTAATAATAAAATGAATAACTGAAACCACAGTTGCAAATGAGAAAGTGTTACAAATATTTCATTCTCAATCTGTTTTTTTTTCTTTCTTTTTAGTATTGGTTATAGTTTATAGGTTTGGTTTTTTAATAGCACAGATTCAGTAATGTACACATTTTTAAAAAATTCAAATCATCTCTGTTTCTATTTCCTTCAATAACGTGAGATTTAAAAAATATAATTTGACAAAATCTTCCAGTAAATTAAATTTCAGCAGGTGACATGGGCTCCATGACTGCAGTGAAGGTCAAGTGGTCTAAAGCATTGAAAGGCAATGATGACCTTTTCAAGTTGAGTTCATCTATTACTTCCACCGAATGAAATGTCAAAAGAAAATCAGTGGAAAAAATCAATTAATGTCTGCTATCACAACAAAACAGCAAGTAATTGATATGAAAATATAAGAGGTACGATTTAAAAAACAAGGGCATTGCACTATGGAATTGAATGAAATCTATTTTTAGTGTCTATACTTGATGATTTAGTACTTCCTTCTTGAAAAATCATGAAATATTAAATGGGGAATACTGAAAAATTGCCAAACTCACTTCTAACAAACAGAATTAAATAAATCATGCAAGGAGTGTTTATTATGACAACAAACTATAAAACATATGCTTTCCAACTTGCCCACAGGTAAGAGATAGGCACTTCAAGCCAGAGGACAGTCTTTTCACAACAGAACTTGATCCCAAAAATTACTCTAAGCTTTTAGACCAAAAATTAAGCATCTTTTCTCCTATGATAAATTAACCGAGGTCCAATAAAATTAAACATTCCACCTGGTTTATAACAAGCAAGAAATGGCTAAAATTTCAGATGCAATTACTCTTACTATTTTAAAGTGGACCAGTGCGGATTTTATCTTGAACTAAAATTGACCAAATTTTTTTTCACTAAAAGCTAAGACCAATTTACTGGACTTGTGATTTATTGTGCAACCAGCCTCTGAAGGTAAGTGTTCAAAGCATAGGCTACCTTTGTGATATAAATGTGGCACTGACTGCTGTGTCTGAGGTATCACAGCGTTTCTTCACTAT